TGGTTTAGTGAAAACGACCTGAGGCCCAAACCTGGCGGGCGCAAGCCTGGAAAATAACGGCCACGGCGCCATCTCGAGAACCGAAAACGGACAATTCACTCATCGACGTGTCACTGCTGGGGGTTCTGTCCCCCCCCGAGTTGAATACCTCCGGACCCCACGACATCAGACGACCGCCCGCCGACCATCAGACGACAAGGCAAGCGGCGCCGACCCGAATGACGACCGGGCGCTGGCCGTGCGCCGGCCACCCGCGTCCCGTGGGCGACCGCCCGACGACCGCCGGCGACCGTCCTCCGACCGCCAGAACGACCGCCGACGACCAGCCGTCGACTGGCCAACCTCTGACGGCGACCATCGACGACCGTCTGCTAAGCTCGACCCCGCGCGGCGCATGCCGCCGCGACGCACCCGGTCAGACCCGATCGGGCGAGTCGCAGCCGCCACGGGCCGCCTCCGCCATTCTCCTGTCACGCGCCGCAGCTCATTACCACGCAGCCTCCAGACCCCTGCGAGCGAGCACGCAAGCTGACCGATAGCTCACCCACCGACGCCTGGAGCACCACTCCTGGGCCACTGCGGGGCATCCCCGAGGGGACCTCCGACGAGAGGCACCACCGCGGCCCCCCATATCAGACGAGCGCGTCCCGCTACTCGCAAAGCAATCACTCGCAAATGGCCTGGATCCGCCGCGGGGGATCCACGATACATCACATCGGGGCAGACATGTGCTTTTTGGACGCTTGCGAGGAGGCGCTGTGCGAGTAGTGGAACGCGCTCGGTGGCCTACGTGGGCCGCGTCCACATCCGCTTGGTGGCCCTCCGGCTGGCCACCCGGGCGCCGCTGCGAGCGTCACCCCGCCCGCGGGTCGCGCCGCGCCGCGCCGGGGGTCGCGCAGATGGGCAGCCGCCGGGCTTGCCCCTCGCGCGCGCCGCGCGCCGCGCGCAGCGGAGGACACCGACGCCACCCCTTGCCGCGGCACGCGTCTGCACGCCGCCGCTCGGCCGCCGGCGACATCGCCAACGCCATCGCCAACCGCGCACGCCATGGCCATCGCGCCGGCTGAGGGGGCTGACGCGGTGGCCGCCGACGCATGCCGCGTTCCCCCCCCCCCCCCTGTGACTCAATCCATCTTCGAGAGAGCCGAAGTGGCAGTGACCAACCAGGGGCGCAATCTCGTCAAGGACCACCGCGGCACCGCCGCAGGCCGAACGGGGGAACACAAGGAATACTGGGCGGCCCAGCTGACCAACGGCAACGCTGCCCACCTGCGCACGTCTAGCTTGGCGAGTGCCCCCAGAGAAGGGGCAAGTCTTCCGACGTCGCACCGCCGACTGGCAGGCCGGCGTCCGACGACCGCACGCGCCCGTCCGCCGCCCGTCCGTCGACTGCCCGACGACCGTCCGACGACAGCGCGCCGACGCCCGCCGCCGACGTCCGCCGCACGGACGTCGGCCGACAGACGCGCAAGCCTGACGACCAGGCATCCAAATTCCGACGCCACCCGACCGCGCTTCCAGGCGACCCCGTCAACACCACGCGCGCCGCGGGCGCCCCTCAGCAGGGCCGCCAGGCCCACGCGACAACCAGACCACACGCTGTCACGCGCGCCATCCCCCGCACCTGGTTCTGCGAGGGGGTTGGCGTGCTCCTCCTCCTCCTCCTCCTCCTCCTCCTCCTCCTCCTCCTCCTCCTCCTCCTCCTCCTGGGCGCACCACTCGGGTATCTCATGCGTGGGCTCGCCTGGCTTGCCACCACTACCCGAGAGCTGGCCACTCCCCTCCACGTGCTGCGTCTCCCTGCAGCGCGCTGCAGCGACGGCAGCGACGAGGCCCGCAGCCCGCCGCGGGCCTGGCTCCCGCCCACGACGCGCCCCAGAATGGCACGCCCCCAGGCGCAACTGCGTGGCGCAGGCCGGACCACTGGCTACCGTTTGCGACGCGGGGGAGGCGGAGGAGCAGCGCAGCAGGAGGAGGAGGCGGAGGCGGAGCCCACCAGGCCGTCCCGCCAGCGACGGCGACTCCGCCGCACGCCGGGCCTGAGCCCCCTCACGGCCCCCAGCGGCCGCCGCTCTCGCCAGACCGTTGCGCCATCTCCCTCTAGGCTCTCGCCGCATTCACGACCCCCCACATCGGTTACCGACCTCCGACCCGCCCTCGGATCCCGGGGACTGCGGAAGAAGGCCTCGCCCTGGGCCGACACGCTGACAGCGGGCCAATGTCTCAAGCGAGGCGCGCGAGCACTGCGCTCCCTGCCACGCGCCCTGCCCGGGCCCACACGGCTCACTCTGTGCCCGAACTTTCTGCTTTGACGACGCCCTCGGCGCCAACTCTGGCGCCACGGGCGTGATGGTCATGCACGCCTTCTTCCGACGCCTCACCACGGAAGCGGACGACGCCCGTCACCGACGCCCGACCAGGCTTGAAACCTTCAACCGCCGTTGGGGCCCGACATACCACAACGACGGCGTTTTCGTCCGACCCTGCACTCCGACGCCGTCTGTAAGCTGACCGACGGCTCGCTGCTTCGCGGGGCACCTCCTCATTTTCCACGCTGCCTCGCGGGGCAGTCTGTTCCTGCTCCTCCTCTGGGTTTCTGGGTTTCTGGCAAGAGGTGCAGGTCGAGCTAGCTCACCCTACACCAAAGAAAGAGGGAGCGAGGAGACTCGTCCCCCCGCTCCTGGCGCCACGGACGCGCCCGCGCCTGCGCGTCCACCGCCACAAGCGTGCCGAACTTCAGTGGCACGATGAAGCGGGACGGGCGACGCTCGCTCTCCCCCCCCCCCAGCTGCTCTCTCCCTCTCCACCACTCCAGCATGCTGGAACTTCCCAGCTCTAGGCTCCCTGCTGCAGGGAGAACGTGGAGTAGGATGGGGCTCATGGGCTCTCCCATCCTAGATCGTCGTGGTTAACTCCACCACCTCCAACAGGCTGGGACGATCCAGCTATGATAAAATCCCTCCCATCTAACAGCAACTGCTGGCGTATGCAGTCGCCACGAGACCAAGACTGCCAAGGAGGTGGGGTGGAATAGGGAGGGAATGCGAGGAGAGAGGGGCGAGGGGAAGAGAAGCCCTGGTGCCTCTTAGGGTCTCTCCCTGCTGCTGGGCCTTCTCTCTTCCTTGTGCCGCTGCCTGCACCTGTCACGCAGACTGTCGCGCAGGCCTTCGGCAACATAAAGGACATACAATGAAGCCTGACACAAGTTACAGAACGCTCAAGTCAAACTCACTGATGTGGGCATTACACGTCGTCCTTGGGCGGTGCGATGCCAATTCGGCCCATGCCTTTATCGCGCCCCTGGAGACTTGCATCCCACCGATCTCTCTTGCGAATGAAAGGCCTGATCGACTGGGTTGTGTTCACAACAATGTACTGAAGGGAAATGTCTCGGCTATAATCCAAGCGAGAACGCTTGCGAATACATGGGCGACTTGATCTGGTATCGGAACGCACAGAATATTGCTGTTCGATGAATCGCATATACCTGAGTGTCTGCGCAGAGTGGTGTTCGGCGCAGACGGCGCCCACTGGCACCGAGGAGAAGACCACTGCGCCGCACGAACATCTCAGGCCCTCTGATGTCGAGAGCGAGCCAGGCGGAAACCAATGTCCTGACCCAGGTATGAACTCTGCCACCCTCGACCTTGCGCCTGGGCCTCCAAGCGCAGCGGGGCGCTGAGGATGTTGGCGGAGCTCAGGAACATCCGCAACTACGGCAGGGACAAATTCATCCGCCTCAGCCCGCAGTGATGCCACAGGCCAGGAGGCGGTGCAAGCCGCGGCCGCTTCGGACAGCAGCGGCAGCGGCCACGCCTCGGCGCTGGCAGCACAGCTCGCCCCGTCGCCGTCCGTGTCCTCGAGGAGCGCTACGGCTTGTACGTGGCCGTCGCTCTGCTGTCCTGCACTGTCAAGCTGCACACGCTGGGAGACGACTGCCTCCAAGGCCTCCGCCCTTGGAGCGCCTACAGGAAAGTCAGGCAGCACAGTAGTGACTGAGTGCAATAGGTTGCGCACGACGGGGACGAACTCCTCCACCATCACGTTCTGGTTGGATTCTCCAGTCACCTTGTCAGCTACTGCCAACGACTCATGTCGAGCCTTGTCGGCCGCGACCTTGATGGCACGCCAATTGGCCGACGTCGCAGGCTGGATCGAAAGGAGGCCCTCCATGGCCCGAATTGCATCACCAAATCTGTGTGAATGTGTGCCGAGCTGTGTATCCAGTCGCCAGTGTACTAAAAGTGCCTCTCCCAACTGCCTCAACCTCACTGTGAGTTCTTCGCGCAACTCCACAGGCGGGTCAAGGAATCCAATCGCTTCATCAGCACACTGAACAGCAGATGCACTAAGAAGATTTCGGGCACGTTCTCTGCGAAGACGCCGAGACAAAGCGGCAGCTGAGCGTCGAGCCCATGCCTTGCCGCACCCTGGCCCACCTCCAGCGCGCACTGGGGGGCCTCCCGCAGCCATCGTGCACCCGGCAGCCGGCACCATGAGCTAGCACATAGAGCCAAGATGTTGGGGCGCATGACTTGAGCCAAAATGGCTACGGACCTCCTCCTCCTCCTCCTCCTCCTCCTCCAGCTCCTCCTCCTCCTCCTCCTCCTCCTCTTCCTCCTCCTCCTCCTTTCAATTTCGGGCGGTCAGACGGGGTGTGTCACACCCTGATCACCCCAACCCGCCAACTTTCCCAGTCGAGGTCCTCTTTTCGACAGCACCAGGGGTGGGGTGAACGCCACCCCTGCCAGTGACATGCGGCCCCTTGCGCCACAAGAGGCGCGGGCAGGAAGCGCTTGTACCCTCCGCCCGTGGAGGAACTCCTCGTCCGAATCTTTGCGCGCGCTCTCTCTCTCTCTCTCTCGTTCTCTTCCTCTCTTTTTTTATCTCTCTCTCTCTCTCTCTCTCTTTTCTTTCGCTCTCCCCTCCCGGCATGTTTTTTTATATATATATATATATATATATACACACACACACACCCGACCCACGCTCGTCGCAGCCTTGTGTCCTCGAGGTGCTGAACCAGTGCGGGCTGGAGCCCCAGGCGCTTGCAGATCTTGATCACCGTAGGGGTGGGGGCGACGAATGGGGGAGAAAGAAACTCTCGAACGTCTCGACACAGCACGCAGCGCGGAGAAAAGGAGAGGGGTAAGGGGGGGAGCGGGGGGAGGGAAGGGGAGACACAAGTCTCAACTGCACGTGCCCAGGCGGGACCGAAACACAAACCCCCGTACCACCGCACCTCATGTAACCGTCTCTCCCCTTACAAGCAAACGAGGGTGAGGAGAGAACCAGGGGGTAAAGGAAGAGTAGGAGCAGGGACGGTCGAATGTAAATAAAGCGGACCATCGCACGGCCTTGAAACAGGTTCGGCTTCAGCTTTCGACTTGAACGCGTGAAAATCTCGATTGGGACTTGAAGCTTGAACTCCAGCGGTGCCTGACATGAGACCTTAGGGTGCCGTCGTGGAGGCGAGCGTGACGAGTGGGAGAGATATGAAGGACGAAGATGAGAGAGCATTGAGGTGGTTCTCGAGGGTTCTAGAAATCATCTGGGAGGGGGCCATCTGTGTTCCAAGGATTTTCCGAGGAAGAGGGGTGCGCTCGCCAAAAGTACGTAATGACACGAGTTGAGCGCCAAATGAGTGGCCGTCCCCAAAGTACCCGAAGCGGCTAGCAGGATCCGGACAAACACGCCAGGTTTGCTGCACGCGCGCGCGTGCAGAAGTAGCAGCACCACAGATGGACCAAGGAAGGAGGATGATGATGCTTTATTTGGTATCATATGTTTTCGACTTCTTGCACATCTGTGTTGGAATTTGCGGGTGGGGGGGTGTTGGAGGTTTTTTGACGAGATGGAGGTGGGCGGAAGAGGCAGATCAGGAACATCGCGCACACGGTCCAGAGTCCCCGTGCCACATATCAGCACAAGTATCAGGTGCCACTGGTAATCTGGTGCGCCAGTGGATGATGTGCAGAGTATCACGTGTACCAGCGTGGACCCCAGACCCCAGGCACGCCACGCGGCAAGCTGCATGTGATGCAGGCTGTGCGGGCAAGCTGTGTGGTGCAAGCTAGGAGGTGAGATTTATATGGTGGGAGCGATGTGGGATACGCTGCGCGTTGTAAGCACGGTGGTGTACAGTAGGAGCTCGACCACAAGAAACCTCCCACAAGACACTCGACCCTGAGATCCCAGGACGTCCATTCATTTTTGGTGTGGGAACGTCACGCTTTCCATTGGAAAAACCATCGAAATCCAAGACGCACCAGGCACCCTGGAGGCAAGCAAGGTGTCTCTTGGCGTGGGCTTCCGCTTCCACCGTAAGCGATCTGATGCAAGCAGTGTGGCGCAACCAGCGCTGGGCACCCACGAGACGCCTCCAGTCGCCCACCAGGCTCGGACATCTTCTGACCCGGGTCAATCCAGACCCGGGTCAGCAGGAAACCAAACAAACTGCAGTGCAGGAACAAAAACTGCATCGCAGGTCTTCGCACACCCGGGTCAGCCAATGTGCGCGGCCGCCTCGCGGCCACGAGCGGCTCGCTGACCTGGGTCAGCCAGAAGGGGTCTTCGCAGGATCCTGCAGGATCCAGCGCCCTGGCTGACCCCAGTTTGCACTGACCCGAAGAAGAGGAGGAGGAGGAGGAGGAGGAGGAGGAGGAGGAGGAGGAGGAAGAGGAGGAGGAGGAGGAGAGGAGGAGGAGGAGGAGGAGGAGTAGGAGGAGGAGGAGGAGGAGGAGGAGGAGGAGGAGGAGGAGGAGGAGGGCCCGTCTCTCAGGCCCCGACAGGCGACACCCAAGCACAGCCCGGCGGGCCCACGGGGCGCCCGCATGGCGCCCACGGCCGCCCAGCGGCGGCGACGGGCGGGCGGCCGCGGGGCCAACGCCTGCGCGTGCCAGCCCGCGCACGAGGCGGCAACGGGGCAGCGACAACGGGCGGCCACTGGGCGACCGGCTGTTGAGCGCAGGCCAGCGCACGAGGCGCCGCCGGGGCGAGGCACCACGCAAAAGCCCGCCAACGCATGCCCATTGCAGAGGAGGAGGGGGAGGAGGAGGAGGAGGAGGAGGAGGAGGAGGAGGAGGAGGAGGAGGAGAGGAAGGAGGAGGAGGAGGAGGAGGAGGAGGGAGGAGGAGGAGGAGGAGGGGGGGGGGAGGGGAGGGGGAGGAGGAGGAGGAGGAGGGGAGGAGGAGGAGGAGGAGGAGGAGGACGAGGAGGAGGAGGGAGACGCGGTCGAGCGGGTCCCCCGCGCCCGCCGCGCTCAGCCTCTCGCGGTCACCGCGAACGAGGCGGCGCGCCAAGGCGCGGCGAAGGACCGAGGGCCCCCACACACAGGGATGTAGCGGGCAGACCATCGGTCTGCGGTGAGGCACCAGGGCCTGCGGCCTGGCCAACGGCCCGCCACGCGGGCAGCCTGGCCAAGCCGCCTCAGCTGCGCTGCCCGCGGCAGGCTGGCGGCGGTCCCGCCACCCGCGGCACCAGCTCGCCGAAGGACATGGCGAGCTGCCGCGGGAGCGGGAGGGGCGGCCGCGGCGGCTGCACTGGCGGCCGCGCCGTCCCGCGCGCACGTGGACCTCGGCCAGCGTCGCGACGTTCGTGGAACCAGGACCCTCGGCCGTCTCGGGCTCGCCCTGCTCCTCGACGAGCTCCCACTGCTCCAGCTCGAAATCGGGGATGACGCCGGCCACGGCGTCGGAGACGGCGTCGGGCTCGACGCCGAGGTCTGCCCTGCCCTCGCCCAACTCGGGCTGGTCCGTCGCCTCGACGGGCTCCCACTGCTCCAGCGCGTCGTCGGGGATGACGAAGGTCTCGGCGTCGGGAACGGCGTCGGGCTCGGCGCCGAGGTCCGCCCTGAGCGTGGCGGTGGCTGCCGCGATCAGCGAACTCACGATGCGGGCCGCCTCGCAGCCGAGCTGGGCTGGTCGCAGCTCGGCCACCTGTGAGATGGGGCGCTGCTCGGCTCACTTGGCCCAGCAGCGGACGGGGTATGCGTAGCTAGGGAGGGTGCACCGCTCCTCGGGTGAGCAGTGCCGCCATCGCCAGCCCGCCCTCCGAAGCCGTCGCCACGTCTTGCTGGGCACCCATGGCCTCGCTGCAGCGCCCCACGCCAGCCACGTCCGCGCCTTCTGCTGCGGCCCGCCCAACCGCGCCACGTCCTTCGGCAGCGGCGCGGCGCGCGGTGGCCGCACCGGGCTACCTGGTGCGCTCCGTGTCCAGCACGATGTGGTCGCCGTCCGCGATGGCGTCCGAGGAGAGCTCCAGGGCGAGGGCGAGCACCTCGAAGTCCATCCGCTCGGTGCTGGGCGCTGGGTCGAGCTCCACGTCACTGCTTGCATCACCGCGCACCGATGTGGACTGGTCGCGAGCTCTGACAGCGGGGCCTTCAAGGCTCGGTTCCCAGGCGTGGGCAGAGCGATGGCAGTCCCCGACATGAGTGACCACTACGCCACGCTCATCACCTCCCCCAGCGAGATGGACACCACCATCACGCTCATCAACAATTGAAGCTCGTACTTCCGCTGCAGGTCCTCCAGCGTGAGGTCTGACGTACGAGCTGTGCACCCGCGCGGCGGGCGGCCTCGCGCCACGGGCGCGCCTATGCCTGCCTCCATCAAGGGGGACTTCGAGCTCATCTGCGCTCGAGCCGTGGACCATCTCGCGGTTCATGCGCGCCCCCTCGTCATCGTCCGTCTGGACGTCGCCCATGTAGCGGTCGCGTGGCTGTGCCCTCCCTGGGGGGGGGGCCTTGGGGTGCTCCCAGAGCGGCCCCCCTGCCCACCCCCTCTGGCACTCGCGCCGCCCCTCGCGGTGATCGGAGCCCGCCCGCGCCACCCCTCCAGTAGCGGCGCGCTCCCCACGCCAGCGGCAGCGCCAGCAGCAGCCCTCTGACGAGGGCGCGTGGCGTTCCGGGCCCACGGGAATCACGACCTCCACATCGTCCACATCCAGATCGGTGCCGAGCTTGGGCGCACGTGGCGACGGCGAGCCTGGTAGCCGCGATGGCACGCCAAGACTTTGTGAACTGACGCCTGTGGCGACGGAGCCTGGTAGCCGCGCTGGCACACCAGGGCTTTGCGATCTGACGCCAGGGCCCCGCTCGGCATCATGAGCGCCTCCGCCAGCAGCCTGTCGCAGCCGCGCGATCGCCAGGGGGCTCCTCCTAGCCCCTCGCCTGCACTGCAGGCGGAGGACGTCGTCGACGTCGCGCTCGGCGGTGTGCTCGTCGCCGTCGCCGGAGCTGAAGATGACGCCTGCCTTCGGCCAGTCCTTGCCGAAGTTGCTCGAGATGCTCTCGGCCAGCGGGCGTGGTCCCTTGGCGCTCGGCGAGCAGGCCTCGCCCGAGCGCCCACAACCCTGGCCGCGCTTAGCAGCCACATGCGAGGCAGGCCCACACGTCCAGCGGCGCCAGCAGCTGCGTCGCGTGCGACTCGCGCACCTGTTGGTCACCGATGTGCAAGGAGGTGTCGGTTCAGGCAGGGCGGGCCCAATCGTCGCCACACGCCGCGAGCCCTTGACATGCGCTGGCAAGACACGCTGCTCGACTGGTGTGTCCTGCAGACATGCGGCAACTCCGACAGCTGATCCCGTCGTCGTGCAGCGCGTGCGTAGAGCTGAAGACGGTGGTCATTCCGATGGAGGGCGGGGCCACGCGTCGGCCAGGACAGCGACGAGGTCGCCCGTGGCCTCGGCGGCTGCCGCGGCATCGATGGCGGCTCTCAGTAATCGCCATCGGACCTGGGGCGCGAGCACCTCCGTGGCCAGCAGCTGCTGCCGAGCTCCGCCGTCAAGTCGTCCTCGATCTGTTGCGTGACCATCTAGCGCGTCGGCTATGGCGCTCCCGCGTGACACTTCCTGGGGCAGTCCTTGTGCTTGCGCCTCCTGAGGCGTAGGGTGCGAGTTCACGTGCTCGTCGGTGGAATCGCTCCGAGGGCGGTGCTGCAACGAGCGGCGTAAAGCGAGCCACAGGTCGGCTTCCTGCCCTGCGGCTGCAAAATGCTCGTCGCACCGCTGCCACCACCCCTCGCAGACCGCCATCCTGTCGGTGAAGAAAACCGC